AGGTGTCATATTTAATATGTGTCTAGCTGAACTTGCAGTGTGTCCATATGTTACAACGGAGATTCAGCTAGTGTATGGGCACCTGTGAGTTTACCTAGAATAGACATGTATTAGTTACAGCACCTATAATACATCTGACAACAATAACTAAAGATTTAGTTGCGGCGACAAATTTTCAATTACAGCAGCTAAAACATTTTCAGCTAAACTTCATAATTAGCTGCGGAATCTTTTTTCCCCGTGCGATCTGACGATTGAGAGGACTGTGTCGGGAAAATTATCAATGCCGGAATTCAAAGGTTGAAGGGGGAAATTATTTAATGAGTACCGGTTTAAATTCCGAAATTTCGGGGACTTTATCGCATTTCGCGAAAGATACAATACACGATTATAATTTGAAGTAGTATGTCAGTTGAATGGTATTCGTTATAAGACTGCAAATAAAGAAGTGAGAGAACCGTTGAAGACGCGATCATCGAAGTTAATCCTTGCGAAATACACGTCAAGAGAAAAATTTTGGACCACTTCATTATTCTGTACTCCTGAATCCAGATTCACGTCAGCATCATTAATTTTCTTCGCTAGGCAACTTGTCTGACAAGTTGCCGAACCAAACGTTTCATCGATAACTCCGTTCATATTTCCGTTCAGTAGGATTTTGTCTGTTTCTGTCGAGAGATGGGACAAGTTTGATCAGTAGCGTATTAATACCATCGCGAGAGAAATGCGAAACGACGGAGTTGGTTTTAGCGTGCAGCTCCAAAATCCGATGAGATCGTGCATGACCTCATCGTTGGGAACAAGCGGAATACTTCGAAGCGTGTATACATTTGTATTCTGTATCCTCTATTGAATCTCTCTATTTTTCATCATTATTAATTATTAGTGTTTTGCCCCACTTTCTAGTAGTCGATCTTTCTTCCGTCGTCATTTCTAATCGAGAATCTTATTCCGGTAAAAGTTCTCGGTCGGTCTGAAATCGTCTTGAGAGCAGGTATATGATCCTTCCGAGTCCTCCTGTTATTCCTTTTCCATTTCTTGCTCCGAGAGGAAATAAATCGTGCAGTTAGTAGCTCGCACGTATGACATACTATCTTGAATATGCGCATACATCGCGAGACGCACGCGTATTCTGGGAATCGCTTAATGCGCGATCCATCGTTGCGCGAGCTCGTCTCCTCGTAATTGGTTTCTTCCTTTATTTTCTCCCCTTCTAAGCCTCCGCTCGATTCATTACAATTTTTTTGTCTCTCGCATACCGACCTGCACCGACCCGAACGATATGACTTACACGCTCTCAGATTTATGCGTGTGTCTTTCTGCGTATTGCGAGAACTATTCGATTTACGATTTCGCATTTTTGCGAAATTCTCAGTACGAAATACAGTCGATATATCGCAAAAATGAGGCTGCAGCCCCTTTTCTCGCAAACGAGTTCTAATGGCATATCTCGCAGAATACCGAAACTGTCCCAATTAGCGAGAACGGGGAGCAGGCAAAGCGAAAATATAAGCAAGACGGTTCGTTCAGAGCTAGCGTCACGTTGAAATTTGTGCTCAGGCGAGAATTAAGGTGCTCCTGGGTGGTGAAGGTCAAGGCGCGAGAGACTTCCTACTTGTCCGTTGCGCCAGGTTTTTCCTTCCGACATCATTGCGTTCCTCGCGAGGGTCTCCCTATATCGCCGCTGCGCGTTACTCCACCACGAACACGCCTGGTCTCCGAGCTAACGAACGATCTTGCCAACTGGCCCTCGTAGGAGATGACGCATATACTCCTTCCTAGTCTCCCCTTTTCTATTACGGGAGATAGTGGTAGCGACAAGAAGAGGCGTAGAGAGAAAGACGGAATAAGTGAGTGAGCGAGCGAAAGAGAGAGAGAGAGAGGGAGGGAGAGAAGGAGATGAGGAGAGAGAGTTCTAATCAAGGTAGCTTGCTGGAACTTCCAACTCCTTTCGCTCGGAACGGGACGTTGAGTTCCAGGTACGTCGATCTCGCGTTCCACGCTACAGGAAGCTCAGCGCCGAGGAAGATTATAGAGTGTCTGCATAGAGACGGTCCGAGTTTGCACGAAGATGATACCGGGGGAAGCGTTGTCGTTGGCGACGACGGTGGAGAGTGATTCTCGGGGATAAGCCGAGCGGGATCGTAAAATTTGTCGATTAAATAATTTGAAGACTCGTCGAAACTTCACAAAACTAGTTTCGACTTTCGCGAGACACCGCCGTGTAATCGCGGTCTCCGCCACGACGGAGCATTCTCGCACGGGCGCAAGCTCTGTCGGAGCTTATGAAAATACGAAATTCCCTGTGCGGAATCATTCTCGGAATCATCATTTCTCGCGCATATTATATCGGCACACGATCCCGCTTCTCTCGAATAATGACAAATGAATAATTATTAAAGTGAATTAGTCATCGTGCACGGAAAAAAAAGTATCTTTGGATTTAGTACACATGTTTGTTTGACTTGAGTTCGTTTGATATAAGCAACATAATTTGATATCATTTTGTTTGTATGAAAATGTCATTATTTCGTTGGAGTAAATTATGTTGTTTAGATAGAAAAAACCAGCATTATTTAGAGGAGATATTTCATTTCCTATATAAAACAAAAATGATTTCGCTATGTATTAACCCTTTGCACTCGAGGGCTCCGGAGCGGAGCCATTTAAAATTTGTCTTCAAACTCGAGGACTCCGCTATGGAGACAATGCAAATAACTTTCAGTTCATAACATAAGGACAAAGACAAATCGTAAAAACTATTGTGTATAGGATATTCCGGATCTTGCTATTTGCATTTGAGTTTGAAGAGTTTGAAGACAAATTTTAAATGGCTCCGCTCCGGAGCCCTCGAGTGCAAAGGGTTAAATATCGTTCCAATGAAACGAAAAAGAAGTTCTGCAATATTTTTCTATTTTTCTAATTTTGTTTTTTTTTGTTATTTTTTGTTATTTTTTAAAATAATTTATTGTTTGTGACAACCATTGTAATATTTGAATGAAAATACGAAAAAAATATGTTATTTGATGTAAAGATATTTATTGTTCGGGGAACTAAATGATCCTGTTTGTTGAATCAAACATTCGTTTGTTTGCTCCATTCCAAAAGACGAGTTTGTTTTAATTAAAGAAATTTTATTAAATCCAAAGACATCTTTTTCTCTGCGTGCAATCACGATCATACTGAGAGAAAAATATTTGATATGATCCAAAGAAAAGACCGAAACATACGATTTATATAATTAACGAAGATTAAATTTAGCCCATGTTTATAATTTTCGTCTGAATTTCGGCGTTTGGCGCTAAACTGCCCGTTTGTGCGTATTATTTAGTGACTGTATATCAAGAAAGCCTTAGATACCAGGATACGTGAATGGAGACGATCGCGAGTGACACGAAGACTACACGTAGAAACGATCGCGCCTCCCTGACGTGAGGGTGGCCTCGTCGTCGGGCCGTCGTCGACGACTTCCGCGTCGAGGAAAAAAGAGGGTATCAGCGTCGGAGCGCGTACTAAAGAGTGTCCCAAACGACGACGGTCAAACGTAATCCCTCGAAACGGTCGGAACCGCGGCATTAAGCGAAACCCTCGTCGTTCGGGCTGCATGTTGAGACTTCTGGCCGGTCGTTCGGCTTCGAGGCCGCTGGCTGTGAGAATAGGTCGGTGGCTGGCTGTTGAATAGGCGCTGTTACAGAAGGTAATGCGTGTACGAGAGAGGACTCGGCGAGGAGGCGCGGCGGGAGAAGACCGAGGCGGCGTGGCCAAGGTGTTAACATTTGCTTTATAGCGACCGCTCTACACCCGAGCAATGGTTTAATACTTATGTCGACGCGCACCGCACGAGCGACACACAAACACTAGCGGAGTGCGGGCGCTCGTAGGAGGATCGCCCACCTGCACACGTTGGTATTAAAGGGACACGGGGTATATATCCGCCGTAATGCGAGCCCGTTAAACACCGAAATGATCCACACGCTGGTGCACGTGCGCTCGCCGCGCTCTGCTGCTCATTGGCAGCGAGTCTGGCCCATTGGTGAGACGATGGAATTCATCTCTCCCGGACGGGGAACGACTCGACTTGTCGAAGCCTCGCCATCGGGATAGGAAGTCTCATACATTTTTATCTCTCGCCTTGTCTGGTGCGCTCCCAGAAATAAACAATGGCAGCAACGTACAGCGACATATTCGTCGTGGTCGCGTTTTCGAACCGAGGCGTCGTGTGAGCGACGAGCCTCTCGCGTACGCGAGTCATTGTATCATTGTGATAAATCTACGGCGTAACAGATGTACGGTAGCTTGCCTCAGCGTAGAATTCAATCACACGGGAGCACGCGAGAGAGCAACGAGAGAAATATTCAAAGCGATCAACTCGCCAATCTGGGTATTCTAATTTTGTGATGGCTCGCGCGTTAATGCGCGTATAGCACATCGCGCTGCCATATGTCGGCGTCGCAGAAATATACGACGTGCACCACCGCGGACTATATAATGGAGACCCGTTAAATAGTGAAATGACCGGCGGGGTTTATATACGCTGCTATGAGATGTTAATACGACAGCCGTTGTCGGGCCAACGCGTGCGTTTCTTCCTTCTCCCCCGGTTCGTTTCTCGCTTTCTCTCCTGCGAGCGACGCCTTGGCGACGCTCATCTCGCTTCTTTCCTCTCGCGTTTTCGATCCGCTCTGCCTACCCGCTCTCCCCCCTCACCCTCCTTCCATTGGACCACGCTCCTTTATTTTATAGTTATGCAGCGAGGACACTTTTACTACGACCGCGCGAACATTTCGCGGTTCCAGTTGGCGGCGAGCGCTTTTATTGCCGCGGGAGCGTTTTTACCCCCGAATACGCCACCTTTTATTTATCGCAAAGCAGTCACGTTGCGGAAAGAGCGGACCGTAGCGCGCCGAATGAGAGACCAAGTCGCGGTCGAGGCGAGTAACGCTCGAAAAAGCGAATTCAAGGATAATGAAGGACGATCGACTGATCATATTGCTACTCACTTTGTGTAGAAGCTTCCTTTGCAGTCCGAACAGACGAAGTTCCGCTGGCGGCCAGTTTTATCCAGGCATTCCGCTGACAAGGAAGTGCTGCACACTTTCCGATGAGCGTTCAGGTCCGATCTTTTCGAGAACGAGGCTGAGCACTTCGCGCACGGGAAGGGCTTCTCACCGGTGTGTTGCCTTATGTGAATCCGTAGCGAGGCTTTCGTCAGGGTCTTCTGGCAAATTGGACACTGATACTTCGGCAATAGCTTGTCGGTACTGGACGTTCCTTCGTCGGTTTCAACGGCACCGGCATGGAGAGCCTCGTGAAAGACATATTCGCCTCGAGAATCCGTGGAAAACGCGCAATTCTTGCACTTCCATTCTTTCTCCACATCCATCATTTGAGCCATACTCATTTCGTCGTCCTTGGTGCAATTGCCTTCTCGTGTGTGCCTAGTGACTTCTTGCGAGAGCGCAAAGAGCACACCGCACCGAGGGCATCTGTCCGAAGGAGATTATAAAATGTACAATTACGATCGCACTCATAATTCCTAAGAACGTAGTAGAATACGCGCCAAAATAACAAGTTTGAATGTGCCGGTTAGTTAAGCGTAATTTCACAGAATTAAAAATACATACCGCTATTCATAATTTAGGTATGGAAAATATTTAACTCTTTGATTATGTGAAAATAAGGCGAGAATTGCAAGAAAAGATTAAAACTTCTGTACAAACCTGATACGTTTGTCGTGGAAGTTTGCAAAGTACTATATCAGGTTACGTGCTGAAGTTTTGGTCTTTCTTCGCAAAGTTCCGCTCTACCTTCACACAAGTCAAAGGACTGAGACTTTTTCGCACACACCTAATAATAGAATAAACAACATGCAATCGATAAGTTACCTGTGGCATAGTTCCGGATGACAATGGAGAAGATGATTCTTATACACCGGGAGATTCGAACACTTCTCATTGCAGTGAGAGCACTCTCGTACCGTAGTCTCCGCCAATCCTTCCTGACTCTTGCGGGCTTTTACAGCCTCCTTATGACTGGAAGTTCTCCGATGTCGGATCGCTTCATGGGTGGTGACGAAGTTCATCGAGCAGAACGAGCAGAAGTACGGCGCCGGTCGCGCGACCACCGTCGTATCTTTGCTGTGTCCCTCGTCCTTGGCGACGTGACAGTGCAGCTGATGACGCTGCAACGAGATCAGGGACCGTACGATCTTCGGGCACATGTCGCACCGAATACGATGCTGATACTCGTCCGACGCGGTGAAATTCGGCTCGTGGCCCGTCTCCTTCGCGTGCACTCGCAGCTGGAAGTTGTATCGAAATTGCCGGTCGCAAGTGCGGCAGGGCAAGGCGCGTTGGCAACTGATTACCACCGGCACGGAGCCGTTCATCATAGACACCACCTCACGATGATTCGCACTGAGAAGGTGAGCCTCCATCATCTCGCTGTCTTCGCACCAGAAATCACACGGAGTGCATTTGCAGTTGCCGCCGATCTGAGGAGAAAGGACAGAGGGAAAATGACGAAGGACATCTCTCACGGCTGAGTGCCTGTGTGCCACCTTGACACGCGAACCAAGCGAGCCCGGTTTGTCAAACAGGTGAAGTCACAACGGGGAATAGGAGGTCGAAGCCTTCGGTTGAAGCCTTCGGCTTTGTGCGAGTTTAAACACTCGGGCGTTAAACACGCGTGGCAAGCGATCGATAACTCACCTGTTCCAAAGTCTTGACATGAAGATCAGAACGCCAATGAAGTAGGAACGTCTCCTCGGTGTTGCAGTAAAAACGACAAGGGGCGCATTGGAAGGAACACTGTCGCACCACATTCGCCATGTTTTCCAGTAGGAAGCGGCGTGCGCTCGGACTGCAAGGATTCACTCCTGCCACGCGGCAATGGTAATGGGAAAGCAAATGTTTACCCATTTGAGGCCTCCTCACGCGCGAGCGGCACATCTCGCACGAAAGGAACTCCTTCTCTCTTCTGCGCACGCCTTTCTTGCCTTCCTTCCGCTCGGGTTCCTCTTGCGCTTTCTGACGATATATATATATATATTCATTACGACGAGATGTAATCGAATAGTTTTGTGCAAATTGGGAGAGTAACGAGATATTTTTGTATTCTTTCGTCTCGAGACGGACGACATAGAAACGATAGAAGGGGAGATCAAAGGATAGGAGATGTAGCATAACGTTGTTGCAAGGATCCCTCTTCAAAGATTACCATTGCGAACGAAGCCTTCCTACGAGTGGACACTCTTCTGTTCGCGTACGAATCCATTCCGCGTGGTAAATGAACACCGTCGTCGATCTCTCTAATGCTCCTTCTAGCGTGCAAATCAGAGAGCAGATGTCTGTTGTAGACCAATCGTGAGGCGAGCTTCCTGCCGCAAGGATTGCACCAATATCCCGATTCGATATCCGTTCGTGCACCCGGTACCCATTTCCCTCGCGTGTATCCCGGCGGCGGTTGTCCGGATGTGTCCTTGCTCTCGTATTCCTCGATCTTCTGTAATAGTTGACGTCTCTTTGTCCGACGAATCATTATCGCTCGCGCGAGATCGCACACAGAGTACCGTATTACGTGTCGAATTGAGAAGGATCAATTAATAAATACATCTGAGGTTCTCCGATAAAAACGATTGCGGAATAGAGATCACGGGAGTGCTTGAACGGACACCGCGCTTCGCGAAGCAGAGTGTCGATCGTTAATTCACCGGCAAATAATCAATAGAGAACAATTTTCCAAAGGAACAATACTCTACTTCACTTAAAGAACACAAACTAATTTACACTGGACAAGACTGGACAAGACTGTGCACTGATTCGCCATTATATGCGTTCGTGGACCTCGCCAGTTTTTTTGAAAAGATCCGAGCCGACGATCGAGAGAATTTGCCGGCCGTAAAACCGACCGTCTTTTGTAAATCATGCCCGAAAGCTTTCAAAAGTGTTTATTTTTCTATTCTACGTTGACATTGTTAATTAAAAAAATTTTTCAGTTATTAAAGAAACATTACTTAAAGAAGCTTTATATATAGATATTTTCAACAATTAATAACTCAAAATTTTGTGGTTATCTGCAAAATGATAGAGGACTTTTTATTTACGTTGACCTAAACCACAATGACGAATGGGACGGCTGCAAGACACCTCGTTTAACAGTTACATTGTTGAGTGAAAAATAATAATATTGTCATAATGTTACTGTTAGTTGGTGTTTACTAGGCTCGTTATTCACGAACTTGATCGTTAATTTGATCTTAAACTAAATTCCCACCCATCTTACTTGCGTTGTCTCCGTCGGTTTCCATTTTCCGCCGGTATACGTCGGCGGGGGGCGTTCCTGATGATCATCCTCGGGATCCACATCGTCCTCATGCATATGTGGCATGTCCTGCGGCAAATCGCCGAGCTCAGGCTTCCACTTTCCGCCGGTGTGACCTCGCGGTGGACGTTCCCGATTTTCGCCGTCGTCGGAATCCGAGTAGGAATCGTCTTCCTCCGAATCGTCGTCCAGCATGTCGTCCTCCGAATCGTCGTCCTGTTGGTACTCGAAGTCGTATCTAGTCAGCTCTTTGTTCTCGCTGTTTCCCAAAGTAAGGTCGGCGAGAATGATATCCTCCAGCCAGGTCTGGTGATCGGACTCCATTCGCTGAGGATTCTCCTGCCTCTTTCGGTCGGTCTGCTTCGAGTCGGTCATTAGACTCTCCAGCGACGTTTCCGACTCGTGTTTGGCCGGGAAACTCGCGCCGTCCATGTTTGAGCCGGCTTGCGACATCGATTGCGTCAATTTACTCGGCGTGACGCTTGCCGAGGTTTTGCCGGTCAAGATCGTCGAGGCGACGATATCGGGGAACACGAGGGATTGGATGCATAAATGAACGGAATCGTCCAATTCGCTGACGGCGGGCAACATGCTGTGGAGTTTATCCTTCGCGCCGGGCTCGTCGGCGTCCACCTGGACGCTCTTCTGGCCTTTCTTTTTTCTTTCCTCTTTCTTGTATTTTCTACCATTGTCCAATAAATCCGGTGCTCGCCGCGGATTCGACTTGCTGCTCTGTAATTCCAGCGAGTTGAAGAACGCATCCGCGTTTAGAATCTCGGGATAGGACACCGTTGTCGGCGTCGAAGGTGACTCGTGGACGGTGTCGTTTTTGTCGTCGGGCGGCCGACAGCCCGACTGACGATGCCGCACGTAATTATCGAGACCGTGTATTGTCAAATTGCACTTGATGCAAAAGTGGGTGTCGTCGTCGTCCTCGAAGGTCTCCATTGGTCGATTTTAAGTATCACTGAGAATAAAAAGAAGGAATAATAAAAGAAGGAGAGAGTGACGATCGCGCAGTGAATTCACTCTTGGCAAGTTAGATTCAAATTGAAAGCTGAGACACAGTTGCCAAAATGAGAATTGTTGTTGAATTATAATCGCAAAGGCTTAAGCATATTCTTTATTCACCTGTTAGTTATATTAGCGGATAAAAACGGTTGGATTTTTAACGCATCCAGGAAGGTAGGATCACATCGGTATTCTTGTCCTTGTACTCTTTGCTCATTTTTCATATAATCAACATATAAAACGGACAAAACAAATAAATAATAACGTAAAACTTCTTTAAGGAGAACCGTGCATGCACTCTGTAAAATAAAAGAAACCACGAGATCAATTTGACTCCAATCTTACTATTACTTTAGATTAGATTAGTTAGGTTATGTTAAGTTGCGTTTAATTTAACCCGTTAGTTAAGTCAAACACTTGATAAGAACAAAATTGTATTCCTTTGTTTCAGATTTGACGATGGCAGAATTCACGTCGCAATGACAAATAATTATGAATAAGTGCGAATTTCGTTAAATTTACGGAAAACTCATTGTTGTGGAAAAGTGAACTTTGTTTTCCTTTTTATATGTTTTGAGCGCGTATCGACTGTGCGTCAGGCGAAGCGGCGAGTCGGGAGGCCTCGGAGCTTTTCGGACGTAGTCGGTATCGATCGGGATCGTTCGTCATCGGTCAAGATCGTTCGCTGCCGCGGAGGCAGGATTAGGTTATAATAACAGTTAAAGAGACATTACGGCGCGGTCGAGTGAATATTAGTTTATCGAGATACTTTTGGCTAGCCGCGTCGGAACATTTCGTTGAAACGCCAAAATATCAATTAGACATTCGTTAAGCGCGTCGCGAGTGCAGTGAAAAAATGAGTGAAATGCATTCGACGTGGGCCTGGAAAACTGGACGCTGTAGAAGGTTGGATAGTGATGATTGAATGCTGGTCGGACGCCGTTGTGAAACGGTTCGGGATGCCACGGCGGATTTCGTCGAGGGACACGAGGTAGTAGGACGGTCAGTGGATTGGCAACAGCGGTTAATGGTGAGTGAAACGCAAATACAATGCTAACAGCGGCCTGTCTGTAACACATAAACCTCATCCTTAATAGAAAAAATCAGATCAACTCTAACGTCTGTCGCTTAAAACGAAGCATCGTTACGATACGACGATACGATTCAATACCCGAATTCTACGGAACAATTATCGCACGATCGCTCGTGTCCGTGCGAGACGGAGAAATGTTTTTCGGTCAGGCTGGAGCGGAAAGAGCTCGTTTCTTAGCCGTGATTTCGTTTTATTCGGCGACCCGCGAGAGAGGAGAATCCATTCGCGCTTTCGAGCGTATGCGTATTCGCTGCGGAGCGAATTCGGGAGTCGTTTAGCCGTCATACCCCGATCACGCGTCACGCAACAACCGCGTCATGGACAGCTCGCTGAGGACAATCGCGTTAGCGGACCGCAGTGGGCAAATTGAAGGTCCGATATTCGCGCGGCAGAAGGGAAACAAGTTGACGCTTCGTGCGGGCCGGGGGCAGGAAGATCGGTCGATGCCGCTTGGCCGTTATTCGGACGACGACACTTCGCCTCCCAGTCCTGGCCGCCCCTCTGCAGCCGGATCCCCCTCCGTGCCCCCCCTCCCCCCTTTCCGCCGGCAGCTCGTGCGCGTCCTCCGCATCACCCCCGCCCTTGTTGCGCCCTTTCTGTTTCCCCTTTCCGAAGTCTGCGAACCGGCAGCGACCTCGTGGCTCCGTCTCTCGTCTTATTAAGCGGAGAAAACTACCGAATGAAATTTCCATCCGGCTCCGAAACATGCTCGTCGGTGTCACCCTTCCCCTCCCCCCGCCGTCGCCGATCGGCTAATATCCCGGACTCGTAGTCGTCGTTCTAGTCTACCTTTGACGTGACTGAAATTCGATTTGCGTATAGTCGAGAAGTTGCAAAAATGTTTCCGTTACAGCGTAACCAACTTAGCGCCCCAGGTTAACCGCTCTTGATCGGGTGTCGCGGATATCGCGAGTAGCGGCATAACCGAAGGGACCGAACGAGCCCTTCGGTGGATTATTCCGCCGTTGCCGTCCGTGAATACACCGCCGCTGACGAGCGGACTCGCGAATAAAAAGCGCCCGGCTGAATTTTTTGTAATTTGTCCTCGCGATATCGAGCGCGGTGTAACTGAAACTGATAAAGTAAGACGGCATATTGCGGCCTTACTGCGCGCAGCAGCCGTCATATTCGATAATGAATTTCCTCGCCGCGATCCCTGGTATCTTCGTATCCTCTACGTGTTTCTGTGTATAATACACACAGGGTGTTCTCAACTCCGTCTCGTCCAACGCTGGATTTACTTGGAAATTCAGGACGGATCTTTCTTCGATGAAAGTAAAGCTTAAACATTTCTCAACTCGGGCATCTTTTCCCGATAATTGGATCTCTAGTCAGATATTGTCCAAATATATTTACATCTTACAATTTTAATTATTTTTCGACGAAGGAAGGAGCGCTGCCATCCAGTCGCCGGAATGAAAAAAGTATATAACGACTGCTTCTTAGGAGAAAAGGTGAAAAAACCTATCAGACATCAAAATGGTGACAAAAAGTTTTTTCTGAGAGTTATTAAGGCCATTTAAGCGAAAAAATAACATTTATTCTCCCAGATATATCTTTGGATAACTTAATGTGTAGCGAATTCTTTTCACAATACGGTTTGAAAGTTCATCATAAAGAAAAAAAGAACAAGAGTATGCGCGATACAATACAAATACAGTTTCGGGGCAGTTTTATCGAGACGGCAAAAATATATATAGAACTGTATTTTACAAATTTAACGGCAGCTCAATAAAGCAAATGTGATCCATTTTTGGACGATAGTGAATTTTTTAGTGACTTGTCAAGAAAAGTGACTTGAGTGACTGGATCACAGTGCTGACGATGGTGATGATAAAGACCGACTGATAACCTAAATTCGTCACTTAATAGAGAATCCTTGTAGAGACAAATGTTGTAGGTATGTGCATTCGCGTTAACCACGAGACAAAACGATGCCAATTACAAACTAAGACATCCAGCTCGATAAATGAAAATAAACAGGTCTTAATGAAAGACGCGATTAGCACGAGGGGATTACGAATCCAAACGATCCCGCGTAAATCCGTTGTATCACGTATACTGCACGCGTATACGGCGCTAATAAGGCGAACGATTGTCGCGAGTATCGTGGGAATGGAGGGGAGAAAAATCGGACGGGCAGATTCGTCGAGATTTACGAGTGTTTGCCGAAAAAACAGAGACGGCCGTTAATTGGCCGATGCTCGTGAACATCGCCGAGACACCGATACGTCAATATGATATCCATGGTTGACGCATCGTGCGACACTCCCAGCTATCCGCTCGTTGTCGTCGTTGATCGAGGATCGTCGATGACTAATCCCTAATTACCGGACGCAGTGCGGAAAAAGGATGCGCACCTGCTACCAACGAGGCTCACGTAAACGTGAAATAACTTCAACGAAGTGATCTTACGGTTTGATCGCGAAGGTAGAGAGAGAGAGAGAACAAGAGAGCAAGAGAGAAGAAAGGGGAGAGAGTAAGGCGAGAGATAACTTGTTGAGCGTCATAAACGTGACGAATTCTCTCGCTCTCGCTCTTTCTCTTGTAATATCACGCCACCGTGTATCACGATCATAAAGATTGCCAATTCAATAGAGGCGATACACAATTATATATTAAAATATTTCACCGCGATTACACAATGAATAATCCATAACTACCTCTTCTTTTTCCAAGATTCTTCGAAGTTCTGTGAAGATCGATACACGTGACATGAGCGTACGCGTGCAAGTGCTACTTTACCATAAAAGAAAACAAATTAATTACTCCATAGAGTAACATGTCGCAAATGTTTCAGCTGCAATTTATGGAGAATAAATTAAGTTTAAGACCGCAGAGTTTAATTCGATTCCCTCCGTAGGGAACGATGCGTAGCATCCATCGTACTTTCGATCACCATCGCTAATCTGACTGGAATGATCGAGGATCCTGATCATTCCCCCCGAACCCTCTCTCAGACTTAATGCCCGCTATAATTAACAATAATCAGCGTGATCCCTTGGAACGCGCCGGGCTCGCACGACCCCGTCACCGAAATCGAAGCCCGGGTAAAGTAGAAGACGAAGAAGAAGAGGAAAGAGACGACGCAGAGAAGGATCCTTACGGGACTCGTCGAACGAAATTAGACGATCTCGATCCGAAGCCGTAAGCGGCCACGACTCCATTCCCGCAGACTCTCTTAACCTCCTTTTCATCGCTCTTCTCTTCCCGGTTCAGGAACTGTGGGATCCTCCAGCCGAGTGATCGCATGAAATCGACCGAATCTCCCTAACGTAATTCTGCTCGACTTGTTTGTATTTGCAAGAGGAACGGCCGGCATTCGTTATCTCTGTCTCCAATTACCGATTTCTGTCGAGCCATTTATTGCACCGTGTCGGCCTTTTGTCATTATACACGGAATTTGATTAGAGAATAACTCGCGCAAATAGATCCCGCTCGAAATGTCCGAATTTGTCGCGCTTATCACGTTCTTGAAACTACATTCGATCATCGCGGCACAAATATACTCGTTCAAAAAGTCCAATCTAGATTCTTACGTAACAGCTGACTGGCAAATATTCGGTTGGCCCGTATTCGCGACTGGTGTATATTTCTAACGAGTCCGAGTAATTCTGACATAATTCTTGTATAATAAGGTTCTTATTATATATATATATCTCCCCCTCCCCCCCCCCGTAATTTCTTCATTAGAATAAAAACTTTTCATTAAAGTATAAAAAGTTTCACGCTTAATAGCCAGTCAGTCGAAAAATAAATAAGAGTCGAGTGGATTCAAATCCCTGAATCTCCTCGTTTCCTCTCGAGACGATCTTCAGAAAATAGACGGTTCGCGAACAAAGAACCGCATTATCGGTCGAATG